AAGTGGTCCCAGTTGATGGAGGTCTTGGTGCTTCGTTTCCTAAACTTCATAGCTCTCTCTTCATAGCTCTAGAAGCAGAATCTAGCACGGAGGAGACGATGGTCCGATCCTGTGTAAAACTTCGGAACAACAGCGACGTCAGTCAGGCAAAATCTCCGATTAAAGATGATGTGGTCTATTTCATTATGGAACTCTCCACCAGGTGACTCATGTCCATTTCAAATGAGAGGGCTCCCGGAACTGCGAGTTACATGGATGGTGTGGGTCGACATGGTAAACTCGGACACCCATTCACATTGCTCATTCCATGCTATTCCGTGAGTCCCGATGTGAACTCTTCAGCCGTTCCTCTGGGGCCAATCTTGGCGTCAAAATCGCCGACGACGACCTTGAAGAAGGTGTGGTCTTCTCTGTAAAGCCTCTCCAGATCCATATAGAACGCCTCCAACCCCTCTTCTCCGTAGCTTGATGTTGGTGCGTAGGCAGCGAAGATGTTTAGAGCTGGGGTTGAACGCATTTTCTTAATTGCAAACCTCCGATTCGTTCTGTTAAGCTTTCGTACGAATCGATGTTCATGGCCAAGTGCGTATTGACGAGAACACCTACGCGCCGACGCCTCTGCTGTGGCATGTTCCAAGGAACAATTTTCTCCAGTCTCAAATACAGCGTGCAGCAGGCGATGCCTTCTCGTCTCGGTCAGTCCGATGACGTCGTGCTTGTTCTTCCTAGCTTGCATCATCAGGTCCTCTATACACGCTTTCGATACAAGCGTTGAAAGAACAGATCGCCATCTTAGTCCCTCTCCTTTTCGGCAGCCTTTTTTGCCCTGAGATTTTAGCAGCTTCTCCCGAGCGGTCCTGCCCAACGCTGCCGTATTGGTGGCCCCCTCGGGTTTAGGAGAATGAGGCCCATTTCTATTACTGTTTTTAACGAGTAGATAACCAACGTGCAGCTTGCCAGGCTCTGACGTGGGGGCTAGGTTGACTCCGGGGGCTTGCCAGGCCATCCCGAAGTTGGAGTAGACGAGGGGCTTCGTTTTTTAGGCGGCCCCCAATCGCCTCCCTGATACTTCTCGGTCACTCGAATGCAAGCTTTTGGATGAGTTGATGGGCAGGATACCAACTGCACCCACAGACTTTCCACACACGTGTGCGTGGATACGCCTGGGAGAAACAGATGGTATATCGACCCAGCACAGCAGAATCAAGGAGTCCATCCCCTGAATCCACCTGCGTCTCTGAGCAAGTACCGGTGACTTTTGGTCGGCGATTAGTTCCGCTAGGCGCCACATGCGGACGCCCTACGTGATCTAACCGGCTGGGGATTCTGCAATGAGAGAGAACTCACATTGAAGGAGATCCGTAGAAAACATGCATAAAATGGGAATAGATGCAGAAGTGACCAACATTGTTTTCAGCGAAGTCTGCTGCCAAAACAGGTATTGCTCTTAGTTATGCGGAAATTGATGATTTGCAGTCAAATAGAATTGGATAGTGTGAAATATGCCTTAATTAAACATATCAAAATTTCGTTGGATGCGCTCCACTAAGAAGAAAGTTACTACCGAAAAAGCGTT